CCCAAAAAAAAAAAAAAATAAATAAATAAATAAAAAGCATAAACAAAAGAAAAGATATCAAAGGTAAATTTAATAGAAATGAAATGAAACTTACTTAAAAAGAGAGCAAACATCATCGATGAAACCCAAGACCTTCAGACCAGATGAGTCAAATACCCACCTTTTCAATAGTCGGGTATTTAACCCACTTTCGAAACGGTAGTGGAATTCTTTCGGTGATGGAGATGCATTTTTGGCGATTTAGTTTTTCCAAAAAATATGTTCTCAGAAAAGTAGAATGCGTTAGCAAACGCATTCTCTTAAGATGGAGAGCTTCCTCCTCAATTTCTTTTTCTAAAATACTGATCAGAACATTATCGAACCGATCATCTTCAAAACCACACAAGAAAGCATGGCCTTGCTTTACTTTCTCTTCTTCCTCTCTTTCTTCTAGTTCAAAACTCTTCTCTGTGAATTTATTCTTGCTTTCTTTTCTACCCATAGAACATTACGGCTTCATCTTCTCAACGGGTTCTTCATAAAAAAATAAAAACAAATAAATAAAAAATTAACAGTTGAACGTAAAGAAAAAAAAAATTGCCTAAAAATAAACAAGTACCTCCTCAACATCCATGGAAGAGCAGTTGAAGATTTTCAAGCTATTGTGTTTGTAATCAAATATGGAGGAGTATATAAACAAGAACGAAGAGACAAGTTCTGAGAGCCAAATATGAAGGAGTATATAAACAAGAATGAAGAGACAAGTTCTGAGAATAACAAAGAGAAAGAGAAGCTATAGATAGGGCTGTGAGAAACAGAGCATTTATGGCGAGCTCCGTAGAGAGACAAGCTCTGAAAAGAACAAAGAGAAAGAGAGGCGAGAGAGGTTGGGATACTCTGTTCCCTTTCCCTGTCCCAACCCTCTGTCCCGTTCTCCATCTTGCTCCCTCCGGCCAGGTTTGTGTCTCTGACAGAATCGGGCGACAAACCCCTCTGCAATCTCCAATCAGACCTGAATTCTTCTCCATTTTCTGACCCCTCAGCAGAGAGAGCATTTATTGCGAGACACATTCTGGGAAGAACAAAGAGAGAGAGAAGTGAGTCCCTCTCTCAAGTTCCCATGAGTCGGTCACTAATTTATTACCAACTTTAACTCCGTTAAATATGGTTAATTGTACAATAAAAGTCCCCTTTTTGGGTTAACCTTTCTCTTATTATCAATTTATTAATTGTGACTTTACTATTTGGTTGGAACAATATATTAAGGTATGAAGATATTATATACTCAAGAAATCTTTGTACACGTATACATGTCATACTTAAAACAGCAGTCTGTCAATTGATAAAGACTTGAAATGAAATTTGTAACCATTAAGATGACAAGAATGTCTTATTTCAGATATTAGAGAATGTACAGAATTTTCTCATCTTTTCGTTTTCCACTCTAAGTTGAAAATAAAACATGTCATGGAACCAAAATTTGGGTCACGAATTACCCGTGTTGTTTAAGAATTGGAGTCTTCCAACTGCTCTTCACCACAGTTGAGGTGTACTTCGAAAGTCTTCCAACACTTGCATTGAACATAGATGATCCACACCTAAAAATTGAACGAACCACTATCAAAAACAACTTCACAGAAGCAATGTTGATTCATCCATCGATCAATATTTCTTTAGCAAGTGAATTTTGTTTGCTAAATTTTTCTCTTCACCCCCGGCCTTGTGCTTGATTTTTTAATCCTCATCTCAAGATCGAGCAATATATACCTGTTGTCATTTACCACTACAAAAGGTTAAATATTCAAAATAAAATTGTATAGCACTACAAACAAAACATAAGAATCAGTTAATAATTTCTTCAAATTATATAATTGTAAGCAATTAGATAAAATATTTCTCAAGTACAAACTAAATACAATGAATAGTTACAGACCAACAAATTTGCAGTTAAGTATGGTTTTTGAGATTTGTAATTACATTTTTGAATGACATTATAAACCTCTATATTTTGTTGTTCGATAGATTTCATATTTGTTGGGTGGGTAATACAATGCAAAGACGCCACATCTCTTCATAAAGAGATAGACCAGTAATGACCAAACCATCCCTCGAGGCAATTGTCGAAAATAACCTACTCATATAGATTCATTGTTAGATAATCCACAATATTAGCCAACACATATGTATAAATGTATATGATATTAGACAGGTGAGAAAGGAAGAAAGGCATAGTTTGTGGAGTCCATTAAGAAAGAGAAACATGAAAATGGGAAGGAAATGATGAAGTAACTGATGAAACCAAATATTGCATTTGGGCCTTCCATTTTTGAATTAATTTCTTTTTCTTTTCAACTGGGTTTGTGTTTAATTACATATGCATAACAATCAATTCACGACCTTACCAATCTAATTTAGTAACTTCTTAGCTGAGAACTTTAAGTGATTAAGATGAAAAATACAAAAGAAATTAGAGCCCTAAAAATACTGTTTTTATTTTTTTATTTTTTTCCTTTTGACTTATATGTGTCCAAGAAATTTTATTAGCACCAAAAAGGAACATAGCACATGCAAATAAATTTCTCATACAAACAACTTTAATAATTTCATATTCCATGATTTTTGCTTCTTGAACTGGGTTGATGATATTTTTGGAAATGTCAATGCTTTTGACATTGTTTGATCTGTTTGACTTCAGACTCTTGTTGGGAATTATTTTTGTTTTCTGTTCTCTTTTTTAAAATAATACTTCAGTGTTTTTTTGTTTATTGTATTGAAAATGAGGAGTCAAGATCAATGTTGAATTATTATTCAAGTAGCTTGGATATGGAAGTTTGCTTTTCTACAACCAAACATAAGCTATGCAACACTCATGAAAGTATCAGTTTAATCTTAACCCCTATAACAATCTCATAGGAAGTGCTACTATATACTTCTGAAATGGGCATGTAGTATACAACTAAAATTTGAGTCACAATGATTTATAACTTTCATCAATTTTTTAGGTGGGTAACTTTTATCAATTTAGGTCATAAAAAAACGAAATTAGTTTGAAACAAAAACACCACAAATGCTTTATGACCAACATACTTCAGTTCACAAAGAAACACCACAATCTCATAATCAATGTCATTTCAATTCATAAACAAATGCTACAAAGTCGCATAACTAAAACCAATTTAAGTCATAATCAAGAACACTACGAAAGTTTCTTCTTGTACTCTTAGATCAATTTTTCATCACTACCAGGAAAAGGATACAGGCCTAAAGATGCCAATGCTAATTACTTAAAATGACAATTACTATCCTTAAAGAGATTCTTACTTCTATTTATAAGTTTAATTTTATTTACCCACTTTTAAACAATACCCTCACTTTTAATTGGCTAAAAGAGTGGATCTACTACTTTGAATTTAACCAATTAGAAAAGTGACTATTATTCAACTACATGGTATAGGTGGGCCAAAAAAAAAGGTTCCCTTAATTTTAAATCACATTCAAGTTTATGATCAACTTTCCAAGTTATTATGTACCACTAAAACAGAAAGGTGATTAGCCTTTAGCGGTAGATTGCAAGTCTATATCCAAGGGAGGGTCCTGACCCACTTGGATGTTTTCCAAACAGAATGATTTCAATGCAATGCACAATATCATTATTGTTCGTTGTTCTAGAAGGTAGCTAAAACACTTTCTCAAATCAAATCAGACATAGAGATATTGACTATATTTAAGGTAAACATGGAAGGCATCTGAGAAAAGGAGACAGACAGAGCTACAACAATCCCTAGACAGGAATCACAATTCTATTGAGAACCTAATTTCAGTACCAGGCTTCGATTCAACTTTTCAAGTAATTAAAGTTTGTTACTGTTGGTATTTTTTCATAATAATACTAGAAAAATATATAAATTTCCATACGTTACACGGACTCGTTCATTTTTGGGAGGTACCTGTGTCGACACGACACGACACGACACGGGTACGGGATACATACGGGATACGGCCATATGAAAACGGATACGGCTGATTGTTTTCTATAATATTTTTGTTACCAAATTTCTTTTTTGTTCTTCGTTTGAACAGGAAGAGGGTAAGATCAGAAGAAACAAACCAACAAAATACAAAACTTCACCATGATTTGAATGGAAAGGAAAAGAAACCTGAAATGCTGAAGCAAAGTTGAAGGCAGAGCTCACCAGAAAGCTGAAGAGTTGAAGTCGCCGGTGGCTTATTTCAACCTTTTCTGCTTCGTCGATGCATTCCCATGATTTTTGCTGGGTCTTCTGTCATTCCGATGCATCTTCTGGTGCATATGTTCAGAAGCTTGATGAACGTCTCTTCTGATGAATTTGTGGTGTTCCTCCCTCTGTTTTTTCTTTTTTTTGAACTGGTTCATCTTCCTCTGGGCTGATTTATCTTCCCTGAAAATATTATTAAGTGCCTTTCTTTTGAGTTTTTTGAATTAAGTTTTTTGAAAATTAATTTTTTTATTTTCGTATTTTTTTATTTTTAGTGAATATTTTTAAAATTTTAAATATTTTTTACTTTTTTAGATTCACTTTACTTAGATGTATTTAAAAAGTAAAAAATTTATGAAAAAATATTTAAAAAAATTAATAAATACATAAAAATACAAAAAATATATTGAATTTTCATATATTTTTTATATTTTAGGTATTTAGTGAATTTTTAAAAGATTTTTTTCATAATTTTTTTATTTTTTAGGTATATTTATGTTAGGTATATTTAAAAAGTAAAAAAAATTGCTTAAAATATTAAAAAAATTAATAAAAATAAAAAAATAAGAAAAATAAGAAAATAAATTTTTTTAAAAAGTGTTTTT